ATATCTGCTTCGTTTTAATGTTATATATGCTAATCATTTTATATATATATACGAGAGGTTATCAAAAAGTTCGTGGACTAGCGCCATAAAATTAAAACCGCTTTAGGTACATCAATGAATTTTAACACACTTAGTTAGCATCATCTTTTCTACCTATAGAATAAGTCATTAGTTGTATGTTTAAATAAATTATTAATTTTTTGTAAGCAATGGTATGTCTATGGTATGTCTAGGCGGCGCAACCTCAAATATGACTTTTTGTCTACCTGAGAGTAACTGAGAAAAACTTGTTTGATATGAGCATTTGCAATCAAAACCTGGAAAACTGGTATAGACCTAGGGAATGTTTAAACAGGCTACAGAAAAATGACATGCATCTAGAGTACTTGTACTTAAATGCCTAAAAAGAGTAAGAGAGATGAAAGATGCACAGTTAATGTTGATTTGTAGTCAGGGTGTCAAAAGTTAGTCACGTCGAAAAGTGACGTTGATCATGTGTGGTAGAAATTGAACTCCAACAAGCTACGTATTCTGGCATAATCAAGTAAGGATCTTTCCCTATGTATAGATCCATTTACAATATTATATGCATTGAAAGCAGCTGTTCATGACATTGTAAAGTCATATAAATAGGATGGGCTTAAGTCCTTACTTAACTCCAGGTAAGCTCATCAAGATAAGTGTATAAGGTAGAGAGAGAGAGAGAGAGCGGACATTGAAAAACAATGACGTTATCGGACGTCATGAAACTAAACGGCGACAGCGCCGGGTGATCACATAATGTCTTTTTTATTTTAGAATAATTTGGCAAATTATCAACGTATCGAGCTAAAATTTTCAACATTTCTTAAACTTTTGTTGTATAATGTTCCTTATAAATTTTGTAAGCACAGACCACATAGTACTAATTTAATCGCATCAATCCACGAACTTTTTGATAACCCCTCGTATATATATATATATATATATATATATATATATATATATATATATATATATATATATATATCTCAAAAATTCACATATCGTACTGTTTTTTTCATTGGTAATTAAAAGCATAGGTAAAAGTTTTGAAACTTTTTTTAACCCTTTCTCAAACAGACAAGCAGACTTTAAAACACATTTTCAATCAAATCTTTGAAAAACAACGCATTTTTAAATTTTTTTTTAACTTTCAGACTTCGACGACGATTTTCTGTAATGTTTGATTTAATACTTTTTTTTACGTTTTACCTTGGGTCTCGTGTTTTGTCTGATCCTTGTTGTCCTCCAGTTTTGAGATTTTATCTGTTAGCGTTTGTAATTTTTTCTCGATCTGAAAGCGGATGATCGTTTCTTTATAAAGCTTATCCAAAACATCTTTTTGTAAATTTTCCTTATGATATACTTCACGGGATAAATTACTTCCAATACTACTGTTGTTTTTTTTTGCTAAAGACTTCTCTTCAATAACTGGTATCAAAGAGAAACAACAAATAGGATACTTTACTATCATTTTGTATCTTCTAGTCATTTGTAATTGTAGTTCTTATTTTAAAAAAAACACTACTGACATAGCACGCCTTATCATTCAGTGTGTTATTTTGGCATTGAAAGGTTTTATTTATACACCTTTTTCGAAATACTGAAATATTACTTCAGTAATTAAACAATGCAACAGGTTGACAAAACAATACTAAAGAGGTTCTTCTGACTAATTTATATGCCTCTGTGCTTAATCTAGAACTTAAACATTTTGCATTGATAGACTATTAATCTTGCGAAATAAAATAATGTACATCTTTCCTTGAATTATATTTCATTGATCATAAAACCCTCATGTGCATCTGGTTGGAGAATTGAAACATTATTGAGGCATCAAATAGTATTACATTGTATATATTAAAATGCATTGGTAAAGTACAGGTAATTGAAGGTAAATCCCAGAAGGAGATCAGACTATAATTGCTATCAAAACATGTCTCACACCTATTGTTCTATACCTAATTATCAAATGTGTGCAAAACTGGAACAAGCGTATGTACGAATACAACATCGCCCTTAAAGACTTTGACAATGGCATTCCCAGTGACGGTATTATAATTATATAACCGCAGTATCCATATGTGCTGACGACTACATTTTTGTTGACATAAAAGGTCGCTTGTGTACGCATTATTGCAATTCACATGTATCACCCATGTGAATGAATACAGCACACTTCTTGGAACAGTGAAAACCCCATATTCAGTATTTGTCTTCACTATATCATAAACAAGAGTATGGTCACCTTCTGGGTTAATAAGATCACATTATATTTAGGAATAGAACCCAAAGTTTTGTTGACATGTTTGAAACAGATTTTTGAAAGTTGAATAAATCTGTTAATTTTCTTATAATATCTGCTCAGCATTTTGCTTTCATATATTCTTATGAGATAAATTCCAAAAATTTACACATCCAACTGTGCAACTGTGAAAATAAAAACGATTTTATCGTTTTAAAGATTTCTATGAAACACTTTCTCAAAAAATCAGTGCTCAATTTATATGTTAAAGGTTACTTTTTTGTTGCTTTGAAAGAAATGTTCATTTTTTCCCTTCATTACATATGTTTTTACCCGGAGGAACGTAATTTGTCTGATCCTTGTTGTCCTCCTGTATTAAGACTTCGTCTTTTAGGATTCGTATTTTTTTTTTTCTGAATATGAAAGTGGATGATCGTTTCTCTATAAAGCTGATCCAAAACATATTTCTGTAGATTTTCTGTTTGAGTAACTTTATCAGATAAAGTACTTCCAATTGCACTGTTGTTTTGTCAAAGTTCTCCCCTAAATCAGTCATTTAAGAGAAACAACTTTAACAAATAAGATACTATGTTATTGACAAACAAGTTGGTGAAACAGGAATATCAGCAGTCTCGTTTAAAGTCATCATTTCGTAAGTTCTATGGTCGATACAATGACCTTGTCAGCAAATACAATTTTTCATTAAGTCAAATGCTGACTGACGTTTTTCATACTAATTGTTAGGCCATTATTTACACACTGAATTGTTGACGGATTTTTCCGTTATTTCACGATCATGACAAGGAGCACACGGCGGGTGTGACCGGTCGGCAGGAGATGCTCACTCCTCCATGGCACCTGATCCCACCTCTGATATCTTAGAGGTCCGTGTTTGCTCTGCTCCTATATTGTAATGTTTCATGGACTTTTGAGCTCGAATACTGTTCGTTATCTCCACATATATCATTTACTGTCATTTTGTATCTTCAAGTCTTTTAGAATTGTTTCTCTTAAACAAATGAAAAAATCAATTATCACTATCTGCGCAGTTCACTAAAAACAAATTCAGTGAGTTATTATCAGTGAAGAGTTCTAATTGATATGTACTCTTTTGGTCGATTAAAATATTGCCTCAACAAATTGATCAGTGCAACAGATTGATAAGAATTCTTATAACATTTTTTTGACTAATTTATAAATGTTTGCACTTGTTCCAGAACCTGAAACTCATGAGTTTATAGACTTTTAATGTCACAGAATGAAATTTAATTTATTTCTCCTTGAAATATATTTTATTTATCACAAAACCTTAGCGTACATCTTCTGAGAGATTTAAAACATTACTGGCGTATCAATTGCAACGAGTATGGATTAATATTTTCTAAAATATTTCCTGTTTCATAATGATTTTGCAAAATATTCAGAATAAGAAAAAGAATATATTACACATGTTCTTCATTTATCTTTTGAGAAATTTTTATTTTAGAATAATAAGAGACTAGATGGAAAATAGATATTAAGTGGCGCATTTATGTAGGGAATTATAGACGACTAATGTACGAGCACTCCTCAATAAATATAATTTATTTATCATCGCTTTGTAAACATTTTGTTTTTATTTCCAAATTGTATCAGTATTATCCATATTGAAAAGAGACAGATCTTGTTTGATTTATACATGAACACAACATCTGGTGCGATGAAATTTTTTTAAATCAAAAGGCTCATGATTAAGTCGTATACTTCTGTCTCAAATTTCCAAAGAAGAATACACCAAAGGCTTTTTTCGAGAATTTTAATAATTTTGTGTATTTTGGCTTAGAAAAAGAAATTTTTTATTCTGCTTATATTGTATATAAATAATATTATATAAAATTCTTGCTAATCATGAAATGGTATCCTATTGAAACATGAACTCTATCACGTGTGAATGTTCTTTTATTAAAGCTTCTGATTTGATCAGTGACTGACTGCTCATGAAAGATGCAATGAATCACTGTGGCCACTTGAGGAATCCTCACCGGCCATACAGATGTTGTCAGTAATTATACTACAGGGATATATATATATATAGGATTGTTTCAAAGTATGCTGTACAATTTTGTTCATATTTCAAACTTGGTGTACCACGTCCCCATTCTGTTGCGTTTGTTTATCAATTGGGCGTATTTAGTGTGGCCTCATGTCAGTCATGTGCATGTAATAAAAGTGTCTTAAGACTGTTTCCTCATTACGAAATTCGATTAAGAGTATATGCAAAGTATATGTTTGCATAAGAGCGCTAGCAATTAGTGCTTGTGACATGTAGCAGAACTTGTCCTTTTTGGAAATTTGAAAGCTTCATTCCACCTATCATAATTTGTACCTCGTGAGGTCACCTTTAGTGTCTTGTCCATCTTCAATTCAATGCAATACAAAGCCACCCTGAGTGCCTTGTTCATTCCACCCGTGGACTTTACCTTGTGATAAGACACCTTTCATCTGTGGAGCATACCTTGACAGCCATCTAAACCAGCTCGATCTTCTTCAGTCTGTGGACTGGACACAATCGGCTGTGGACACAGTGTCAAGGACGAACAAGCAAAGAACAAAGCATTCATATTGTATATTTAAGATACGGTTACCAAATATGTAAAATCTGTAAACTAATATGTTGATTTTGTTTAATTTAAAACAAAGAAATTTCGACAATCTGACACAGATAAGCAAGAAATTATGACATGACACCACTTCTTTATTCAATCAAAAAACCAGAAAAAGCCGACCTTCCAAATTCATTACTTTTAATTGCACCTTGACCTGGAGAAGTGGAGTGTGTGCGCACGAAGACGACGTCACCCTGGGCAACTGCTGCTACCACGTGACCTGTAACGGTGTTATATCCACAGTAGGCGTAAGTACTTCCCATAATTTTTGCATTGATGACGAGATCTGTCGTGTGTGCAAGATGACATTCTACTCGTGTAGACCACGTAAAGGAATAAAGCCCATCTCGAGGAACAATGAATACACCGGTATTTTCATTGTATCCATTTCCTAAATTCGTCTGTGTGACGTCGTAAACCAGAGTGTGATGACCTCGAGGGTCGGGCTCGTCTCTTGACATGTAGGCATAGAAACCAATTCCTTCTGTTACTAAACCTTTTTGAAAAATAATATCATCTGCACTTAAAATGACTTTTGAACAAAATCTCTCAATGATTAAATCGATATTGATTCGTATACTGTAGATTCTTTATTTAAAGCCAGTACTATATATCACGGAATGGCTAATAGATATGAAATCTGGATAGGATCACGTAGTTCACTATCGCACGATCGAGCATCGACAAAAGGATCGATGGTTGGGTAATGCAATGGTACGATGAAGATGGCGCGATGACGATGACGCAACGATGTGATAGCGCGAAAACAATTATGCGTTGGCGCGATAATGAGATGCCAATGGTGCGATAGCACGATAGATAGATACCAAACATCGCTTCATCGCCATCGTGTCATCGTGGCATCTTCATTGCGTCATCGCTATCGTACCATCGCATCTTCGCACTATCGCCTCATTGCTGCAACATTTCCCCCATCCCTTCATCGTCGTCTTATTGTCGCGCCATTGCATCATCGGCATCGTGCTATCGCACCATCGCTCCAATGTCATCGCATTATCGCGTTATTGCGCTATCGACTCGACCTTAACCTTGATGGTGTGATTGTACGATATTAAACTAGATGGCCCTATCAGGATTTTTTACATACATAATCGTCTGATCACATACATGAATTTGCGAGTTGTCTGTTTATTGAGATATTTATTTTAAAACATGTTTCAGCAATGTACAAATAAACGTTAGTATCTTTATTTCGCAAATGGTGATTCAGGAGATGATTAGATCTCATTACATTGACACTGATAAAGTTAATTCATGTAAGATTAGAATAGCAATATTTTCAATAGTCATTCAAGAAAATATCGTTTTGTGGACAAATCATGGTACTCACCTTGATGAACCAACCTCTTGTCCTTTTCGGCACCTCCATAAGAATTTTCAAGCATAAGACTATTAACTCTATTTGATAATCTTGAGTTTTCAATTTTTAACAAGGAAACAGTTTCCTTCAAGTAAATGTTTTCCCGTTCATGCTTCCTGGCACTTTCTTCTAAATCCCCCAATCTTGTTTCTAAATTAATTGGAAAAGAGAAACATACGTATATCCACGACAAAATGAGAAAGAATTCTTTCATGTTCAAAGTACCTCTGATCAAAAATAGATTTAATCTATAATTCCTTGTCCATATGTCCTACATTGGACACACACACTGATAAAAATTAAGTGTCAAGGGCCAATGTAGTCGACACATTGTTGAACATTCTGTTTCATATTCGAATGCAGAGCTAATATTAATAAATCATTGATGAGCAAAAACTAGGAAAAGAGCATATTTTTAATGTTTAATGCACAAAGTCTACCTTTTGCAAAATTTGCGAAATTAAATCTCAAGAAACAAAGGGTTTATTAGCCATAGATTTAAAAAGACTTAAATTTTAACAATCTTAGAATATAATATACTTTATGAAGTCAGAGATCAGAAAATCAACAAAAGTAGTCCTCTCTTTCATCATATATAGGTTAATAATTGCAAAACTATCATGAAAGAACAAACAAACTATTTTGCCCACACTTAAATAAAGAGGCACCTTTGGAGGAAACTAAATTTAAATGCGGTTTAGATATACTTAAGGGAATGCATGATAACCTGTTTTCTCGTGCTGTATAAAATCTTTTCCTGCGTTATTTTCAATACAGCCGTTGTTCGTTTTGTTCATACTTCATATTTGATATTTACGTTATTACATTTTCATGAGTGAAATACCGTAATAAATTTATTGAATAAATGTGATATTTTGTCCCAGTGTGAAATAATATCAGAAGAGCGGCAAAACTCGCGATTTTCTTTTCCTTCATGAAGAGAGTAGTAAAATAAAAACAATGGCCTGTTACAAGAGAGAGTATATAAACCATCATGACAGAGACTAAAACTGCGAAAGTTTCTCCGAATAATGCTCTATCAACCACTCAACTATGACGTCAGCCTATGACAATGTATTACGAAAAAACACAGGAAAGGGGAAATTCAAAGAAAATGCAACAAGAGGCCCATGGGCCACATCGCTCACCTGAGCACTGTGGCTAGGAAAAAAGCAAAAATTAGTATTGAAAAGCTTTAATGCATAAGTGGTCCCGACCTACCCCTAAAAGGGGGGGGGATGATTTGAACAAAATTAAATCTACTGTAACTTTTTTCCTACAAGTTTGAATTTTCATTACGGTCCCACCCTACCCCCGGGGATTATGATTTTGAAAAAAAAATTTACACTATCTAAGAATGCTTCTATATAAATTTGACCAATCATGGCTTTTCTGTTCTTGAGAAGAAGATTTTCATAGATTTTTTTCCCTATATATTCCTTTATAAAACGTCCATTGTGGCCCCATCCTATTCCCGGTGGTCATGATTTGAACAAACTTGAATCTACTCCATGTGAGGATGTTTCCAGATAAATATGACCAATCATGGCTTTGCTGTTCTTGAGAAGAATATTTTCAAAGATTTTTCCTATATACTCCTAAATAAGAATTTGTTCGTCAATTGTGACCCCACCCTATCCCCAGGGGTCATGATTTGAACAAATTTAAATCTACACAACTTGAGGATGATTCCATATGTGTTTCTTTCCTGTCCCAGTGGTACTTGATAAGAAGACTTTTAAAAAATGCCATTAATTTTTCACAAATTTGTAATTATCTCCCCTTGGAAGAGGGCTTGACTCTTCATCTGAACAAACTTGAATTCCCTTTATCCAAGGATACTCTGTGCCAAGTTTGGTTGAGATTGGCCCAGTAGTTCTGGGGAAGAAGATGAAATTGTGAAAAGTTTACAACGACAAAGACGACGACAACGACGAGGACAGACAACGGACAAATTTCAATCAGAAAAGCTCACTAGAGCCTTCGGCTCAGGTGAGCTAATACAAACTTGCAGTTTTTCAACAGAAGAAGGTATTTTCAATTCTTGTATGACATATGAATATGGTGTCCGTTTATCATAGAATAATCTGAAAATTCAATAACTTGTCATTGAAAATGGAATTTACTTCACTCGTGAGACTGGAATATTTTTTTGTATTTTTACGGGTGTTTCGCACTTGTAAAAATATCAAAAAAATCCCGTCCCACTCGTGGAATAAATTCCATATCCAGCTACAAAATATCGATTGTATTTTCTATGAGATTCATTGACTACTGATTATGTTAAAAGCAAGACTCTACTTTTCGCGTATGTTAATTAATATGGATTTTTTCAAAGACATGCTTATTGAGAAATTGTTTACAATTTTCTTTGCTATATAGAAAATAAAAGATTTAAATATTTTGCCATTAATTTTTTGCGATTTAATTTGAACAAGAAGAACGGCAAGAACTACACGACTGCGGAAAGTATTCATTATGCAGTATCATATATCCTTCAAATTTCAATTTTGCTTTTTCTTTTCTTTTCAATTTTCACCGTTTTACTGATAAACATTGTCAGTGTTATTGCAGAATTGTTAAGATTATATATATAACAGTTATTAATACGCTGAGACCTACAATTTCCACGTTCATTTTTTCAGAATTGCTATTAAAAGCCTCTACAAACACTGCTTGAAAGTCACAGAATGTATTTCTTCCATTTTCAAGAAAAAAAGGAATACGGATCTCGAAGGTATGAAATAATTCCGAAAAGCAGCTATCACATAGACCGTTTTCTCATCGGTAACTAGCCAATCAAACTTGTATCCGTAGATACATCGCATTTGTTTTTATCCAAAACGAATAGCCCCACGTCCATGTCGTGTGACTTGAGAATGTTACTGATGATTTAGTCAGCTGATTTGCCGACAAAATTAAACAAATGTATATAAATTATTTCTCTTTATTTTATGAAAAGAGATTTTCAAAAGAAAAAAAGGTCATATACTTAGTATCTCGAAAAGGCAGAGAAACAATCACCTTTAAGCAAACTGTGCTGAAAACGTTTCTTTTGGATGCTTTCCTCTCTTGTCGATAAGTCGTCTTGTATTATTTTGATAGAATTTTCCTCATTGATATACACAGTAATAGTTTCATAAAGCTAAAGTTACGCTCTGTGGAATCATTTTATTTTGTTCATCGGGCCTTATTTCTTGGGTTACTCGTTTAAACGGTAGATTCATTGAATCAATATGTTAACAAATAAACGTTCACGTAGATGTTCATTCGTGGGTATGGATGACCCACGAACATTGGTCCCCCACGAATGATGATTCCAAAGTGCGTGCTGAATATAACGAAGTAATTTCACAGGTCTCAATGACATCGTCATAACCGAGTTTTACTGTATTTTTAATTAAATGCGGCTTAAAATGTTACCACGTGAAATAAACTTAGTTTTTATTGGATTTGAACCTGAGTGTAAAGACCCCCCCCCCCCCTTTCTTGCAAGTATTCATGTAGCAGAAGTGTGATTACTGACAAACGTATTCCTTCTGTCTGTTCTATGGTACAGCATTAAATCTAATACATGTATATTGTAATTGGAAGACGTGTTCCAGTTGAGATTTTCAGCAGTGATCAAGATTTACAATGTTTATTAGATGAACAACACCATGAATAATAAATTTGAACTTGTGTGTAAAATTATGTACAGTACTATAATTTGAGTGAGTTAGTCGCTGATATATGATAGGAAAAACTAAAATTGACAGAAGCCGATCCGGTAGAATACATTTAATATACATTGTCTCTATTGTTATTCTTTCGTTTTGTTAGTCTTTCTTAGACTTTTTAAGGGGTGACCTCTAAAGTTAAAAAAGTGATAAACAAAGTTTTTTTTAAAATTTTTTATGGCCTTTGAAAGAGTAATGATTATTTTAAGGTTAACTGTCTAGTCTTTTGGTGTTTTGATGTATAAATCAGTTTGCTTACGTGACAAGCCTGTGACCTGTTGACCGGTCACACACGCAGAGAATTTTATTATAACAATATACAATATCAAAGTTATTCACATGTGCTTAATATTGGCTATCTAGTAATATATTTAACCCATTTCATTTTTTTATATTATGAAAGAAGATAAAAGCTTCATTTCATCAATTCACATTACAGATCTGGTCAGTTACATACCAAATAAACTACCGCTATAATCCAAGCCAGGTAAAAAAAAAATCAGGTAAACACCACACAAGAAATAAGAGTCATATTGTAAATAAAAGAAAATGGGTATCCACAAAAGGGACAAAGTCTTTACATTGCTACATTTTTGTTAACTTCTTACCTTATCCATTACTTTAGATATCTTACAAAAATTACTTAAATATTATATCCTTATTTATAAATTTTATCGGTACCAAAAAAGCATTTTAATCGTGTTTGATTGTTCTCTAGTCCTATAAATGTATAATAAGGGCAATTAGGTTTTGAAATTTCAATTTTGGAATCATGGATCTCCAGGTGAGTATATGTGTTGGGCTCAAAAAATAAGTCTGTCGTTGCAACTCCTGCTTTTTAATTGGTACATGTAACGAAAAGATTTTTTTTTTTACAAAAATGAAAATGTCCATGTCATATATGTTTTCGAATGTAGATTCCTTCCCTGAAACCCATCAGGGATTCAAAGGGATCCAGTTCCTTATAAAAGTTCGTCATACGCACTCTTTGTATATTTTGGGTTTTGATACTTTGAATCTAATATGGAATAATGATGTTTAAGTTAGTTTGCAATAAGGTTATAGAAGCGAACTGGATTTTCCAGATGATGATTGAAATTAAATACATTGTACTTTAATTTATTCATTCATGGATGAAGACATTCTATCAATATTGATTTCTGATTCTACATGTGAAATAAATCTTACGGATGGGTGATCGAGATGATTTTTTGGGGCAGATGTATCCTCGGAGGTCCATGAGTCGTTACCCTAATTTGATCGGGACTGTTTGTAAATCAATTTGAAATTCTGTTTCATTTCGTAAATCATACCTTAATTAAACATGTTCTTTTTTTGCAGTAAACTGGTCAAATAAAAACAATCATGCCTTATTGATTGTTTTCATCTCGTTTAAGTTACCGATGTTTACCCGGCGACATTTTGAAAAGCAAGTCCTAGGGTCGTGACGTCAGCGGAAATTGAAGTAAAAAGGCCAAGAGAATGAATTAATGCGTTTTTCATTTTTCAACTGAAAGTTAAAGACAAATTATTACAATCTTTACAATGAATTAATTTTTTTCAGTTTAACAATTAAAAACTTATATAACTAAGTTGAATTTAACACTGTCAAATTCAATAAACAGCAGCAACAGTAGTAATATGTTAATCTGCATTACAATGTGGACAAAAGAATTGATAATTCCTTCTCTTGTTTTCTTTGACTATTTGCATGATCTTTCATTCGCTGACACACGCTTTCTGAGATTTCTCACCTTGAAACAATCTTGCTCATTGTTTCCCTCTCTTTCATTTCTCCAGCACTCTTTTTTACCTTCAGATGGTTCTCTTTCTGTTGTAACTTTACCACATAATTTTGCTGATCTACATTTTCTTCCTTTTTTGCTCAAATCCTCTCTCATTCTCTTGGCTTTCATTTCTAATTTCAGTGGCCAGGCCCTTGAAAACTTCTGCTGGTACCAAATACTTCGAAGGAACTGAGTCTTTGCAAAGGGGGTGAATGCCAGTGCGACGAAATCCTGACTGGATGTTTTCAGGAGACAGTGCCTTTGTGTATGCCTTGCATGCGACTTCACAAATGTCATACCTGGTAATTGTTGCTGCTGTTTCCCTTAATAACTTGTGACACTGATTATTATAAATTTTTTAAAATGGTCCGTAGCCGGCAGCATCCATTGGCTGCAAGACATGGCTTGTATGGGCTGGAAGAATAAAGATGATTATTCCCTTCTGACTTGCCCACTCTACCAGTTCCACTGACACATGGGACTTGTGTCCATCCAAAAGGAGTAAGATCTGTCCTTCATCTCGTGGAACAAACTTGAGGAAGTGGTGTTCCAGATAGTGTCAGAAGATTAGGCCGTTTGACCACGCAGTTTCGCTTACTGTGCTACTAGCCCCAGGGGATCTCCACTCAACAGCTCTGGCATCATCCGTTTGCCAGGAAAGACGAAAAAAAGGTGGTATTGAGACACCACTTGCACTGCCTCCACCGAGAATAGTGATGGTCTTTCCACGACCTGATGTTACTTACTGGGGACAGTAAGCAGAATCTCCGACCACGGCTGGTGGTTTGTGGTCAACAGAAATACCCTTTTCGTCAACATTGAAGATGAGATGAGGCTTTCCATACAGATCATGTTTAGAGAGAGTGTTGCAAAGATTTTCAAAGTATTTGGACACAGTTTCACTTGAAGCCATCTTTGCTCTTACGTGCTCTAACCCTCGTGGCTTCAAAACTTTAAGCTCAGGCCATCGCTTTAAAAAACCTCTCATCCACTTCATAGGAAATGGCTTGTCAGGGGTCCTCTTACCCACAAAAATTGCGTAATCTGTTACAATATTTATGCATTCCTGTCTGGTATACCCATAACCAAGGGATGCCATTGTTTTAAAATGATTGACTAGATTGGCCTCTTCAAGGTTGTCTCGAACTGGAGTTTTACCAAAACAGCAGTTTCAGGGTCAACTTTTTGCAGAACCCTGTTCCTAAGTGTTGTATCGGGCACCGAAAAATTTTTGAAGCTTTTCTTACTGACATTTTTTTCTTAAACCATTTTATATGCATTTGTCATTTGTGTTGAAGAATAAAGTCTTTAATTTCTTTTGTGAGGCTTGGTACTTTTCTACAATAGCAAACAAATAAATCCATCATCAAAAAAAATGTCTAAGGAACAATAAAACTTAAATGGAAAAAATTAACTTTGTTTGGCCTATCAAATTCCAATGTAGTCATGTGACTTCTGTTGATATAATGTAAACAAAGCGTACAGTAGCACTGACACACTCAATATAGGTCGTAAATTTTAAAAAAAAAAATTGGACTTTATTGTCATACTTACATGTAATTGGTAATAATGAATTTGACAGTAAATCAGCTAAGATTTTGTTTCATACTAATTTTTTTTTTACCTGTTTTGACCTCATTGTCGTCTGCAGTTGTAAATATGACGTAATCGGTCGTAGTAAAATTTTTCTCACGGTGTGCGCAACCGCGGACAAAATCTCGCGAAATACGCGAGAAAAATAAAAGGGACAAGACTCTAGGACCATAACGAATTTAGGGCCTCCGACGATATTCCAAGTCAGCTATAAATCCTTATTTTACTATTGTTGCATCTGTGCATGTATGTTATTAGTTTATGCAAATCCAATGACCTAGATAAGTATGTTAGGAAAATAATCGGGTAGATGTTTTCTAAGCAATTCAAATCCCAAGTCATTTTAAGGACATTGGGAAGGTTCCTGGATATCGTATAGAAATTTCAAGAACTCTTCAGTAGGTTTAATAGTATTAAAAAGGTTATGTTCCGGTTAGTTTAACCCACCAAGCCAACACATTTTAGAATTCGTCAAATCAATGATTTTACAATTTTCAATGCATCTCCTATGCAAAATGTTAATAAAAGGGACCTACATATTTTTCACCGTAGGATTTCACCAAACCCATTTATTTCATATTGTTTATGTATTATATACATTATTGTATCCTCTGTTCCTATGACATCTAGTTATTTTGGCTGAAATTGTAAATATAAAAACAAGACACAGACATACCGGCAACGTTCTTTACTTTTGAGATACTTCCCTCATCATATATATAATTATTGTTCATAATGGTCAAGAGACTGTTTGACTGTTTCCACTATGTAATTGACATCTTTAGGAACAAATTATCGTAAAAACTATTGGTATGGATTTGTTTTTAATTTTTATTCGTAGTTACTAAATAGTGCCTACTTCACACGACCCAAGAACTGTTCCAAGCCGGTCTACCTTGCAGCACCTGTCACGTCTTTGCCTTTCCCAGCATAGCTATGGTAAATGACGATCTGTTGGCTCTCTGTCCCCTGAACACAATGTACAACAAAGCCATCACTACTTTACTTTCTTGTCATATAGATAATTTTACTGTTGTAGGAAGCACACGTGGTTTTCCTTTTCTCTGTAACAATCACTTTACTGGTTTTCACCGCGTGGAGAATTCTACACGGAAGATCACTCTTAATCACTATATTATAAGTGAAAAACCCATGTATTACATGTAATCTTTTTTTTTCTCCGGAAAACCTTGCCTTGCCAATGTCCTTAAGCCTTACCTTAATTTGACATTGCATCTTCTTGCTTCTTTGTTTGCATACTAGCAGTATTCTTTCAGATGCTGCTTGTGAATTAAATTTCCTGAGTGAGTGAATTGATTGAATATTTTTAGAGTACTTTCATTCTCAAAACTTTTCAGTTCTGTTGTTGTTTAAAGATTCGAGTATATTGGCATGTTATGTGGAGGGGAAAAAGCATTTTAAAAAATTCAATATTGGTATAATACATTGTAATTAGATGATTCTTTTGGATTTGTGAATCATTATTACAGAGTTTCCTAATTTGAGTGTTAGGTAAAATAGTTTTGTTGACGTAAGATCATGTTTTATTGGATCAACTGGAGTATACGGACAAATAGTTCTCCTGAGCATAGAATTAAGCAGTTATTCGGTTAAGACGTCAACAGAAGAACTAGCATATTTATTTGTCGACCATTTACAGGTTGACAGTTGACAGGTCTACAGAACTAGCATATTTATTTGTCGACCGTTTACAGGTCGACAGAGGAACTAGCATATCTTTTGTCGACCGTTTACAGGTTGACAGTTGACAGATCTACAGAAGAACTAGCATATTTATTTGTCGACCGTTTACAGGTCGACAGTTGACAGGCTGACAGAAAAACTAGCATATTTATTTGTCGACGGCTTACAGGTCGACAGTTGACAGGTCGACAGAAGAACTAGCATATTTTTTGGTGATCGTTTATAGGTCGACATTTGACAGGTTGACAGAAGAACTAGCATATCTTTTGCCGACCGTTTACAGGTTGACAGTTGACAGATCTACAGAAGAACTAGCATATTTATTTGTCGATCATTTACAGTCGAAGTTGACAGGTCGACAGTAAACATTAAATCTAAACATACCTTTTTGTCGATGGTTGACACCCGAGAGATTAGGGTTAGTCTTGTATCCTACCAAGAGATTAGGGTTAGTCTTGTATCCACCCGAGAGATAAGGGTTAGTCTTGTGTCCACCAGAGAGATTAGGGTTAGTCTTGTATCCACCTGAGAGATTAGGGTTAGTCTTGTATCCACCCGAGAGTAGGGTTAGTCTTGCAATTATTTGATCCACATGTACTCAGGCAAAAGATATTTCATAATATAATAATAAAAAAAATAATAAACGCCTGCGGCCTTATGCATATATTGAATATATGCGTTTTTTTAGTATAAAATCCCTGTGCTCCAAAAATATTTTTATTATTTATCAGGTTATTTCAAACATTATATTTCATTGTTCAATTAAACATTAATATACTAGATTATTTAAAATACATCCCATATTCTTATTTTTCTACTTTCAATAATTATTTTCATTTATATTTAATACTTTTTGTGAATGAAATACATGAAAATATTGTTCTGTCAACTGTCGACCTGTCAATCGTCGCCCATTCATATGCATGAAAATACTGTTCTGTCGACCTGTCAACCGTCAATCCTGCATATACAATAAATTTCTGTCAACCGTCGACCGTCAACCCTGCATATACTACAATAAATTTCTGTCAACTGTCAACCTTCAACCCTACATATACTTCAATAAATTTCTGTCAACTGTCGACTTGTCAACCGTCAACCATGCATATACTACAATAAATTTCTGTCAACTGTCGACCTGTCAACCGTCAACCCTGCATATACTACAATAAATTTCTGTCAACTGTCGACCTGTCAACCGTCAACTCTGCATATACTATAATAAATTTCTGTCAACTGTCGACCTGTCAACCGTCAACCCTGCATATACTACAATAAATTTCTGTCAACTGTCGACCTGTCAACCTGTCAACTAAATTATAAATCTTTGCTATAACTGACATAACTAAGTTCACATTATATCAGAATAAACATGACTAGAAAATTATTTACCTAATTATATTAATAAAAACATCTTCTGCAACTTTCTGTTACTATTGAAAAAGGAGAATTTTACTCAGTGAAATTTCTCTTTAGTATGGTAATATTGATTTAAAACACAACTCTTTAATCATTTATTGTCATTATTGTTCATTATCTAACGGGCCCAGCAAGTGCTCTACCAATCCCCTAGCTTTACTCCCCACAAAAATAATGAAAAATTTCAGACTTGCTGTACTACAGCATATTAATTCTAAAAGTGTTCATAATCAAATATGGATTCACAAAAAAAAAAAAAAAAAAAAAAAAAAAAAAAAAAAATCCAAAGAACTTTTAGAAAATTTAAATTCACATTTTTATTTTACATGTACATCAAAACGTATGACTTTTCTACACTTTTCTACACTTTATGCAACTATTCCTCACGATTAATTAAAAACTGGGCTTTTTGATATCATACACAACTGATTCTTCAAAATAAACGTGACTCGGTCATTTGCATATCTTGTGACTGGTTATCAACAAAATCACTTTGTTGAAAATCAATCTGATTCTACACCCAAATGATGAAGTTGATTCTACACCCAAATGATGAAGTTGATATATTAAAAAGATGCTGAAGGTCTTCATTGACAACATAAATATAGTCTTTGGAGACCAGGTCTTCTAACAAACTGTTAGAATTCCCATTGAAACTAATTATACTCCTTTATAAACCGATCTGTTTGTATTTTGCTATGTAAAAGAACTTAAAAACTACATGAGAAGAAGCTAACATTTGCTGTGACCTTCAACTCGACATTCAGATATATCGATGACGTTTTAGCAAGTAACGATGTTACCCCCAGAGTCTTACACATCTGTTTCATATTTGGATATTTTACTTGAAAAAGAAGTTAATGGTAATCTAAGAACCAAGCTTTTTGATAAACGTGATGACTTTAACTTTTCAATCGTCAACTTCCCTTACTTATGCAGCAATATACCTTCCTCACCTGCATACGGGTTTTATATCTCTCAGATGATTCGATAGGCAACAGCATGCCCTACATATGAACAATTTCTAAAACGAGATAAGCTATTGACAAACAAGTTGATGAAACAAGAATATCACAAGTTTCGTTTAAAGTCGTCCTTTCGTAAGTTCTATGGTCGATACTATGACCTTGTCAGCAAATACAATTTATCATTGAGTAAAATGCTGACTGACGTTTTTCATACTAATTGTTAGGCCAT